CCCGCACTCGCGGCGCCAAGCGCTGTGCCCGAGGTTTGCGACAGAATCGCTGGGGTACAGCAACCGAGCCGGCAAGGGATCCCCCGGCCTCAAGTTCCTTCCTTTTTTAAAAAAATCCTCACCCGAGGGAAGGTTAATTGATTTTTGTTGTTGTCAATCCTCACCCGAGGATATTTTTTCATTGATTATTATTTTTTAAAATATATTTTTATTGCCCTAACCGGTTTGACTCAGTGGATAGAGTGTCGGTCTGCAGGCTGAAGGGTCCCAGGTTCGATTCCGGTCAAGGGCACATGCCTGGGTTGCGGGCAGGAGGCAACCCATCAATGATTCTCTCTCATCATTGATGTTTCTACCGGTATCTCTCTCTCCCTCTCCCTTCCTCTCTGAAATTAAAAAATATATATATATTAGAGCGTTAGCCTGTGGACCCAAGAGGTCCCAGGTTTGATTCTGGTCGAGGGCACATGCCTGGGTTGCGGGCTCGGTCCAACGTGCAGGAGGCAGCCAATCAATGATTCCCTTTCATCATTGATGTTTCTATCTCTCTCTTCCTCTTTGAAATAAATAAAAATATATTAAAAAAAAAACCAATGGAAAAATATCCTCGGGTAAGGATTAACAACAACAACAAACATAAATAAATAAATAGCCTGCCGTGGGTTCAGAGCTGGCCACTTGCAGCTGGGGGAGGGGCGGGGAGTGGGGGGTAGACCTGGGGTGACAGGCACACCCCCAGCACCTGCTGTGTCTGCCCCGTGCTAAACCCTGCATGTGGAGTCAATCCTGGGCCCACAGGACGCTCCCCCAGGTGACAGTGGGGAAACCCGAGCCCAGAGAGGTTGAGTAACGTGCCCGAGCCACACAGCCAAGCCGTGGCCTGGGGAGCGTGGACCCCCAGAGGCCCCGTACCTTTCCGGAGGAAGGCGCCATGGCGCTGGTCCAGCAGGCTGGGGGGCAGCAGCGAGAAGTTGGACATGGTGTTGGCCTTCATGGCATCGAAGGCCGAGTGAGCCACGACGGAGCCCAGCGCCTCCTCGCCCAGCTGCCGGCCCAGGAACTGGCAGACACGCTGCACGGAGCCGGGGAGATCCTGGGGGCAGGAGAGAGGGGTCAGGTGGGAAGG